TCATTTGTGACTTACACCTGTTTTCCAAAATGGTTGTACCATTTCCTGTTCCTTCTAGCAGTGTATGTGAGGACATTGTGTTATCATCCCTTAATGGTTAACTACTCTAGTGTAGTGATATCTCATGTTATTTTGCATAATGATTAAAGATATTAAACATCTTTTCATAGCTTTATTACTATTTGTTGAGCTTGAACTTATTTTTTATGTGATAAAATATACCTAAAATTTATCATTTCAGTCATTTTTAAGTGTAAGTAAGCCAATAGTGCTTTTGTACCCTGCTGCAAAAACTGTGATAGGTAGAGGATGATTTTCCAAAGAAAAGCATATTAACGATTTTCCCCAGGCTTTTAATTTTTCTTAAGCGCTCTCCCTCAGGGTCTCCTGACTGAATGTGTAGTTTATCAATTAGCCAAGGGTGTTTGTGGAGTTTATTACTTCTATCCTTCTAAAACTCTTGCTTTCAGAAATCTCTTCTATTTGTAGTTACTTTGTCACCCCACCAAATGAATAGCCCAGTAAATTTACAAGTTTTCACCCCTTGAGCTGGAAAGGTAACAGTGCCCACAGACATAAATGCTGTAAGCTTGAAGTTCTTACCTGACATAGTAGCAAAAGTACTTCTCCAGTAGTGCTCTGGATTGTTTGGTTTTAATAATAAACTTTTTCCTGTGGAGGGAAATTGACCAACCTCCTCATTTGAAACTAACATTATCACAATTCCATTATCACATCTAAACCTATTAGCATTTGGTGTTTAAATTTCCCCAAAATTGTCTCATAAATATTCTTTAAGATTTGTTGTTTCAAACAGGATAAAGTAAGGCCCATATATTCCATCTGGTTACGTCTTTCAAGTCTCTTTTAAGCTTTAACTCCTCCAGCCCTATCCTCTAAAGTTTTCCCTCCTTGTCTTTATGTTAGTGTTGCAATTTATTTAAGAAACTAGGTTTTTGTCTTTTAGAATTATAAGTCTGGGTTTTTCTGACTGGATCTCTGTGGTATAGTTTAATATGTTCCCTTCCCTACATTTCATAAACTTTGTTTAGTTCACATTAAGGTTCAATATTCTGGTGAAAATTCCTCATAGGGTATACCTATTAGAAGGCACATAATGATGGTTATCTCACTTTCTGTGATATGAACAGCCTTTGATTGCTTAGACCTTTTAATTCATGAAGAAGTGGCAAGATGTTGATAGTCTCTCATTTCTTTTTATTCATTTGCTGAAGTTCAAAGAACTTTTCATTATCAGCAGTTTGGTTTCTTTGAGGTACAATTTCGAAAGAAAAGATGGGATACTTGATACATTTTGTTTTATAATCTAACATCCTCAAGGTGTTTCTTACTTTACTCCCATTGGCTACCTATTTGTTATAACTTTTAGAATGTTAAATCAATATTTTAAAACTTTGACCTACATTTATGCTCAATACATATCAAATTTGAGGTACCACCTATGTGATCCGGTATTATAATCCTTTCCTTCCATTGTCACTTCCTTTCTGTACTTCAAATATTTTCCCCCGTTACCTCAGTATTTACAAACTGCTGGAAAACCAACATAACCCAAATGGTTCTTGTCAAGTTCCCAAATTATAACAGTTGACCTTGGATGAGATAGTTTTTAGCTTTTTTCTGACTTTTTCCCCCAGTCTCACTGAATATCATTTTCAAGTTCCTGGTATTCAATAATAAATTAAACAAGTAACATTTAAAGCCTTAATTTTGCCTTGTAGTACTAATAAAAAAAACTTGGTGTTTTATATTCATATGGCTTCTATTTCCTCATAAATTTCAGTTTATGATAAAAATAGCAAAACAACTTATGACAGATTGCAGGTATGGGCAACTATTTTATGCTTAAGTATTGGTTATTGATTTTGAAAACTTTTAAGATTTATGCATAAATGAACTGGGGTGTAGACCAGAGGTGTGGGGCAGGGGCGGGGTGTGTGTAGGAGAGGATTCAGAGGACCAGAGACAGAGGGGGGAGCAAAATAGGCAGATCTATTGAAATACCCTGCTGAGGAGAGCAGCGGGTGAGACAGGAGAGGTCTGCCACACCATGTGGGTTAGCTCCCTGGCTTGGGATCGAACTCATGCTGCAGTGGCTGGTCATAGTGCTGAGACATAACCCCTAGGCCACCAGGGAGATCCCTGATTTTGAAAAATGTTTTCATGAATGTTTTAAATACATTCATAAGTAAAGAAAATTATTCTTAATTTTTAATAAACTCAGCGTTTCTCAAAAATGTTGCTGAGAAGACAAAATGAAAATCTTCTCAATATTTCATAGAATTTTTAAAAAGCATTAAAATCACCTCATACAGAGAGTGAGTTAAGCATGTGCACTTCAAGGTGTGAGCTGTATCCTTAAAAGTTTATAGATTTGTAAACAAATTGTTAATATAATTTGATAAAAAATAAAATGTCATGTAATATAAAGTTAAAATAACAGTATTTTTATAAACAGTTAAAAGAAAAACATGTTAGGGCCTCCCTGGTTGTGCAGGGGTTAAAGACAGTACTGTCAAGCTATTGCCAGCCACTGCAGTGTGAGTTCAATCCCAGGCAGGCCAGGGAGCAACCCACATGGCTCAGCAGACCTCTCCTGCCTTACCTGCTGCTCCCCTCAGCAGTGTATTTCAGTAGATCTGCCTGTTCTGCTCCCCCATTCTCTCTGGTGAATCCCTTCACCCACCCCCACACCTCTGGCTTACACCCCAATTCTTGTATGCATAAATAAATCTTTACAAAAAAATTTTATAAAATGTTGGCAAATGAACTTTGGAAGATTTCAGAGTATTTATTCCATGCAGCCACAGATAAACCTACATTGATATAATGAAAGTCACTCATTCCAACTTCAAATTATTGAGAAACAAGAATGTAATTGGTTTAATTTAATTCAGATATTCATTGCTGAATCTTATGTACATGGTTCACGTAGCCTATTGCACTAAAGACAGTGGGTTTGAGTGAGTTCCATCAGAGTAATGGTTGGGCAGGAATACGTAACGTAGTTTTCTACATCTGCCAAAGTATATGTCTTAAAAATGGTAGAAATGGGATTCTCAACTTGGGTTATTTCATTTTTATCTAAACCTCATGCTTTTTAGCTATTTTTCTATAGTTTGTTGAAGATGTATCATCATACAAAGCTATTAAGGTAAGTTTCATTGAGCCAATACTTTGAGCATTATATGAGAAGCATGTGAAGGTTTTAGAAATAAATTATATAGCTATGTACTCAGGAAATGTAAAATATCAACGAGTTCAGAAAATTAAATGCATAACTTCGTATGCTATGTCTATTTAGAAAGTTAATCTTGTTTACCAATATAAAAATGTATTTTTTTTTCCAAATAGGCCAAAAATAAGTTCAATGCAAAGCAAGCAAAACAAGCTGAATTGGACTATTGGAGACTAACTGATGCACTTTTGGCTGAAAAGGAGAAAGAATTTCAGGATTATGCCAGAGAAGTAATTGAATTTGAATCTGAGTCAACAAATAAACATATTTACCCTCTAGTAAAAGCTGTTCAGATGGGACCTGGAGGTGGTCGTGGGCCAGTGTTTATGGACAGAGGTGGGATAAGACCCAGCTATCAGGCAAATGATGTTACTGGAGTTCAGCTTCCATTTTATAACTCTCATGGATCAAAATATAATAATTTTCAAAAATCTAAGGGAAGACTAGGTTTTACGTGGTAGAAAGTTTATTTTTGTCAGAATAAGTTGTAGCTGATAGAATGAGCTACAACTCAAAGTGAATTATATGCCTAAAATTTGTTAATAAAGCTGTTCTTCAACTAATTAATTATGTCAAGTCTAATTGATTTCTCACCCACCCATGTTAACTCAGATTCCTTTTTCTAATTTTGATAATATACACAATATAAATCATATAAAATATCCAGTAGTGTATCTACAATATTGTACAAGCATTACCCTTATATAGTTCTAGAACTTTATTGCTCTAAAAGGAGAACTTTTACCTATTAAACAAGCAGAAACTCCCTACTTCCCCTTTCCATAGCCTCTGGCAATCACTAATCTGCTATGTCTCTATATATTTCCTTGTTACTTTTCAAGTTTTGATACTATACTATTAAACAATTGTTTTCTCTAACTTTAAGCTTAGGGTTTTTTTGGTTTTGTTTTTGCTTTTAGATTGCATGAGATCAGAGTGGTATTTGTCTCTTACTTAGCGTAATATTCTCTAGATCTCTCCAAGTTGTCACAAATGGCAAAATTTCATTTTTTATGCTGGAAGTATTCCATCATATATACAGTCAAATGTCATTTAAGGAAGGGGATGTATTGAGAAATTACTCATTAGGTGATTTCTTCAGTGTGTGAACACTGGAGTATAATTTCACAAACCTAGATGGTATACCTATGTACACACCTAGGTTATATGGTATAGCCTATTGAGACAAGTATCATATATGTGGCCTATTATTGATGGAAACAAGTGATACATGACAGTTATATACCATAATAGGACTTTAGCAACAGCTCTCATAGGCTACACAGGACAATGACTCTCACCCATATTCAAGACTGTCATTAAGTAGTGGTGAGGATGGTCACTTAAACATTTAAAAAATGAATATCAAACAACCTTACCTCTCACCTCAAAGTATTAGCAAAAGAGCAAGCCACACAAAAGCCAGAAGGAAAAATAACCAATGAAATAAAAAAGTCAAAAAGATCAATGAAACCAAAAGCTAGTTCTTTGGGGAAAAAAAAACAACCCCACAAACTTCTAGCTAAACTCACTAAAAAAAAGGGAGAAAAATTTAATCGAATCAGAAATGAGAGAAATTATGTTTCAGAAATAAAAGATCATAAGAGATTACTGAAACAGCCATATGAGTAATGTAGATAAAATAGAGAAATGTTTAGTAATCTACAACTCCCCAAGACTGATCCAGGAAGTAGAAAACCCAAACAAACCAATCACAAACAAGGATACTGAAACAGTAACCAAAAGTCTTTGGAAGAACAGAAGTCCAGGCCCCCAGTTTCACCAGTGAGTCCTAGCAAACCTTCAAAGATGCACTAATATCTTACTTATCCCAACAACAGAGGGAAAGCTTCTAAATACATTTTATGAGGCCAACGTCACTGACAAATCAGTCATACATTTTAATATCCTCATACATTTTATGAGGCCAAAACCTGACAAATCACAAAAACAAAAGAAAACTGCAGACCAATTTCTCTGAACATAGATGCAAAAATCCAACAATATGGTTCAATACCTGAAAATCAATCAATGTAATAATTCACATCAAAAAAAGTATCATTACATCAATAAATGCAGAGAGCATCCAAATTAGGTTTATTCAAGTAAAGTGGGGTTATACCTTTGTATTTGCCTATACACCAGTGTCAACAATCTGCCATGTTCTACTGGATCTGTACCCTCCCCTACTCCCATCAGATGTTTTTGAAAGCAAACCGTCATTCTGAATCACTGCTTTGGGGTTTATGTATCCTAGTAAAAACAAAAACCTTGGCTATAAAGGAATAATGTAACTGACTGCTAGAAACATTACACGATTCTCAGCTGTTCTGAGTGTACTCACAAATGCAGTTGGTAGGATATTAAAACAATTTTTTAAGGGAAACAGTATTTTAATTAAAATACTCTTCCATAGGTACAGCATCACAGGCATACTATTTTGTGTTGTGCAATGACTAAGTTGCACACATTCCATTAATTATTCATGGCTGAGTGAAATAAAAATGTTTTAAAATTTTGTACAAGGCAGTAGGTTGGCTATTTGAACTTATTTAAAACAAGTATTTCTTTTGGCTTCAGGTTGCCCTTTGTTAAAATAACAGATTTTAAAAAACAAATGCACAGTAAACTGTGAACCTCTATAATATCTTTTAGTTGTCTTAATACATATATTACTCAGGGGTGATTAACAGTTTGGGATAAAGCTATCTCACATTATACAATAGAACATAAGCTTCTACAAAATGGTTAATTACGTTTTAAAACCAACTTTGCCCAACAAAGGCTAACATAAAACACTGAAGACATCATTAATTCTCCCTCACATATTTAAGTTGTTTTACTTTCTATTGATCTGGGCTTTCTGCTAATTACACACACTAAAAAAAGGCTATGTCAAATTTTTAAAAATCAGAACAATTCAAGTGAAAACTGCAAAGCACATTGAGAGCACTAGAAACACAACAGTTCTAACTTACTAATCTAACAAAAGGAACCCATTGCTATAAAATTTGTGGCAAAAAGTTAAAAAGGGTAAAAATTATGAATCAGCATTTAAAAATACAGTATTGATGTTTAAGAAACCTAGAAAGCAATGAAAAATAGAAAGCAAATTGATACGAAAAGTATTTTAATACACAATCTGCAGTCCATATGAAGCACTCACATTTTACAGATTTTCCTGACTAAAGCATTGGAAAACACTCCAGAATTTGAGCTAATATCCAACTGTTAACATATAAAAATGATTGGCCAGATTTTAACCTAAGCATATATATACATATATATCTACACATATATTTAGTGACTAACTCAAATAGGTGCATTTTTCCCTAAATGTCTAATTTACATAAAAATAAACCTCCTCCAAATTAAGACAATTTATTTTACAAAAGCCAATCACCACTCATATGACTTTACAATGTGTTGTATTAAAACAGAATATAATAGTGTTTCTAATGATGAGAAATTTGGAGGAATTAAAAAGCAAACGGCAGCATTCCAGTATACAGTAATGCAAATTCCAACTGTAACCTTAAAATTTTGCTGAAAAGACACACTGCAATCTGAAGCACTATGATCAACATTTACACTAGAACTTACTCTCAAACTTCTGGAAATCATCACTGCTGGCTAAATTCTTAAAGAAGCTCAGTACTGTTAAACTCCTTACTCTTAACACAAATAATTCTATATCCCCATGGTTAAAAGTATAATTGATTTATCTTTACTATTTAACTTTTTATAAAAATTAAGGTGAACTCATTAATTAAAAATGCAAAACAAACGGGTTATTATAGCATAGTTTATTTAATACAATGTTTAACTATAAAAGTTGATACAGTTTAAAGTTTAAATTCTGTAAAATGCAGTTTGCAGAAAACAGTTTAACAGTTACTAATAAGAGAAGCAGCATTTTTAAACTAATTATACAACTGCAACAACAGCTTTATTCCTAAATTTTATTAAAAAAATATACATCACAGTGACTTTTGAGCTAGGAAAAGAAGTGCATCAACTTCATTTGCTTTTCCCTTCCACAGAAAGCAGCCACTTTTTAACATTCCCATGTACAAATACCCAATCCATTTCTCAATCCTTCAAAACATTATAAACACACAAATGAACAAAATATACAGCATGTGCTTTTAGTAACATAGGAATTTACTTAATAAAAAAAAAAGGTAGAAACACAAATCAACCCCACCACTGGCTTCTGTACCTAAAACACAAAAACCCTTGAAACCAAAAACCATCATTCAACCTGATGAAATATATTTTTCTTTTCCTTTAAAATTGATTTTCCGTCACATCAAAGGCCAGTTGGCATTTGCCTGGATCTTTTAAAAGGCCAATAGTTAGAAAGCCCATGATATGCAGGTATCAGCTACTCCTGCATTTCCTGGTGTATTTATTAAATTTTTAAACAAGTATTTGTAACAAAACATCTTTTCACAATAAACAGGTCATAAACCTGCAATCCTTGAAGTTTATTCAACTGTAAATATATGAATACTAAACTGAGTAATTATAGTAAACACAATCAAAAGGAGACCAAAAATACCCATTTCACATTTCCTTATTCACAACTATATGGTGTATATAAAGTACCTTCTGGTGAAGGCTAAGGGAACAAGTTTCTATGAAATTTACTATAAAAGGTTCAAGGTGATGAAACGAATTACTAAAAAACATACAAACTTGCTCCACATACTAACTTGAAAACAAATTAGAAATGTCAGTTAATATCAGTACTCAAAATACCAGAAACCCAATGTATTCTGGTCTGTAATATTAAGTTTTACATTTTAATTTTGTATTTCCCAATGGTCACAAAAATCAAAGGCCATTCAGCAAAGCTAATCTGAAATAAGTTATCATACTTGTGCAAAGAGAGACTTCTTACACAATTTCTTTGAAACTTTTGTGAGGATTTTGTTAAGGGGAACTTTGAAAGTACAATGCCCTATGAATTCAGTAACTATAGAGTAATTAAAAAGTGTTTTAAAGCAACCCAGTAGCTTCTCTACTGATCATTAACATTTATCTCCCTGTAGCATCAATTTCTGTAGCAGATCATTTACACAGAAAAAGAATTCACTTGAAATAATCATGAAAAAAAATTCTCATATGTCAAATCAAGCAATTAAAAACAAACGGATTGAAATACCTTTAAGAGGAATTTAGGTTAAAGACATGTGCAAGTAAATTGTAAGCTCAGACGTAACTATAACGACAACTTCACAGAGAAGAGTATTTGCTTTTTAGAAAAATAATTATGCTCAAAGTAACAAGATGGCACAACTATTAAAAATGTAATGTAAGGACCTTTAGAGCCACGTGCTATTTAGATGCAAAGGCAGATTTGAGGTACAGTCAATGCTGTTTAATCATTTTCTAAATGTACTTTATATTTTGAAAATAAAATCTAGCTGATTGTCATCTCTCAATTTTTTCATCACATCTGTCCTACTATAAAAACAGCTCACAAAGCTTTTTTTAAAAGGCCTATAAATTATGCTTAGCATGGAGTTATTCTTTTGATAATCAAAACAGGAAGTCACCACATATAGAAAGTAGCAAGTTTTGCTACCTATGGTTGCTTATCTCTAATTCTTAGTAGATAAAGCTCTGGGATCAGACAACAAAGAAGGATTTTTACTTAACATGGTTTTAAAATTTTTAAATGTCATTGTTATTACAAATCCTCTCAAATAGCACCTTTCTTGAAGCTCAAATAATTTTTAACAAAGACTTTTAAAAAGCTATTCACTGAACTTGAGATTAAATAATAACTAGCTTAAAATACACAACAGATTATACAACTTGGGCACTCAAGACTCACTTATCCCCAAGGTGGGTTTGTGGTCAAAATCTAAGGAATTGATTACATTGGATTACAATATACATCTATTACTTTCATTATTCAGAAAAAAATTTGGAAAGACTTACTGTGGATATTATTTCAAGATACTCCAATCAATCTTAAAATAAAACCCTGTTCATTCTGCAAACAGCTACTACAATGCCCAATCTAACATTACTGTATTAATCAATAATGGGAAGTATTATGTTAAGCATTACTTTGCTCAGCACAAATAGCATTAAATAGCTACTGGGTTTACCAAGAAACTACCTTGGTAAGAGTCGACACTATATTGACAAATATTAAAGTACAAAACACTGTAGAGGCTACTATTAATTGAAATTCTGAAATCTCTTTTCAAATGAGGCAGGTTTTGTGTTTGCTGGATATTCAATATTTTATTTAGAAGAGAAATTACAGAATAAAAGGCGACACATCACAAAAATAGCAATATACAACACACAAAATTCTAAATGGACTTTGGGTATCTTTAGTGTTTAACTCTGTAAGCAATCAAATTTTGTAACTTTCTACTCTATGTGATAATGTTATACATGCCAAGTTAAAATAATGTTAACAGTAATGGTAAAAAGCCACCTGAATAGAAAGAAACTAGAGTCATAAACATGCTACAGCCTATTGTGATACATATATAGAAAAGATGCATTTATTTGCCATTTGAAACACACAGCTATGAGAATTAGAGAAGTCAGCTCAAGTTAAGAAGAAAAACAAAACCATGCAGAGTTAACACTCAACTCTCTATAGTCAGTGGCCAAGAGAGAGAAATCCTGGAAGTTAATGTTTGAATAGTAACACTTTTTAGAATCTATCTAACTTAAAGACCTGCACAAGTGGTATGTTTTAGTGAGAAAAGTAATTTTTGATTTTAGAGAAGGGTAATGATAATAAAACAATGTTCTCCCAAAGCAAGTTTCATCTGTTCAGACCAAAAGCAAACACAAAATTGAGATTTATAGTCTGATCTTCCAAGGTATAGTTCTTGTCAAATGCTGTATAACAGCAAGTCAAGTTCAATCAGTACTTCAACTGAAAAAAACAAAAAACAATACTCAACTATTTTACTATAAAGTAAAATTAATCTGAACAGGAGAAATACCAGTATGAAACAAGTTATGGGCGGAAGGAATAACAAATGAGGTACAATATAAATAACTAAATATGTATTTTTAAAACACAAATTACTATCAAATCAAAAGTGATGATTTAAGATCTCAAGTTATTAGGATCCTGCTTCTGCATAATTAAAAGCTGCTGCTGCAAGCCTCTATAACAAATGCAATCACAAAATCTATACAAGATTTCTTCTACCTAGTGGCTTCTAAGGTTACTTTAATCATGAAAAACACAATCTTTTTTAACAATGTATTACAACAATCAGTTATGCTGTTTCCAACTGGCTGATCATACATCAGGGCACAGAATAGCATGTCTGCTATTGGCTGATTGTTGCAACACAAAAATGCATACATGAAACAGTTAAACACAGCACACACTATTACACCAAAGTGTTTTTCTCATTTCAAGTTTATTAAAACTTTAGTAGTACAAATTATCCAGGTTGCAGATTATCAAAAGAATGAAGTCCACGTTAAAAAAAAAAAAAGACAAACATAAAACAGCCCAAAAACAATGAAAAGAGGAAAAAAACATAAAGGAGATTCATTGCAAGTCTCTAAAACTTAAAATTTGAGACAGAATAGGAACAAGAAGTTTATACAACTCACTCATCCACTTTTGTCTTCATCTGTTCCAGGGCTTGATTCATGATCAAATTTTTTATTTTTATCGTGTACATGGTCATTTTCTTGACCCTTTGATTTTTGGTTTTCTTTTTCCACTGAGGATCTGGTCTTCTCATCTTCCTTATTTTTCGACGTGGAGAACTTTAATTCATTGTCCTGACTACTTTGTTTTATTTTTGAGAATGGACTTTGATCTCTGTCAGCCTTCTTCCCCCTGTCATTATTTGAGCTATTATGATCACGATTTTTAGAGTACATTCTTTTCTCACTCTCAGAATTTTCTTTTCTGTGTGAACTCTTACTTTCTTGGCTTCTATATCTTTCTTTGTTTCTGCTTTCACTTTCTTCTCTCTCTGAACTTCGTGAATCTCTCCTCCTCCTCCTCCTATCTTTACTTCTTGATCTTCCTGGTGTTCTTCTCTCCCGGCTTCGTGATCTTCCTCTTCTCCTGTACTCCTGTTCTCTGTATCTATGGTACTCCTTGCTTCTGCTGCGATCTCGGTCGTGGCTTCTAGATCTCACTCTTCTGCTCCTGTCCCTACTTCTGCTTCTTTCCCTTGTTCGACTATTGTAACTGTGCTTGCTTTTAGTTATATCACGTTCTCTACTCCTAGATTGTGCACGTCTATCTTTTTCCTTACTTTTATTATGATCATGCTCATTACTTTTTGACTCTAACTGTTTAGATTTCTCTTTACTTCTACTCCTTTCCTCATCTTTTCCTTTAGAATCAGATTTTTCTTTTTCTTTAATACTCTCATGATCCCTTTCTTTACTCCTGGACCTCATCCTCTTATCTTCATGTCTATTATGCTTTGTATCTTTTTCCTTACTCTTTGATTTCTCTTTGCTCTTACTTCTACTTTTAGATTTGGCCCTTTTCTTCATCTTGTTTTTATTATACTTATCATCTTTTTCTGAATTTCTTCTGACATCTCTCTCTTTGCTGTTAGATTTATGATCTTTAACTCTCTTTTCCTTTTCACTTTTTCTGTTTGGACTCTCAGACACATGCCTGTGATCAGTTATTTTTTTCTCTTTTACTCTAACTGGACTTCTTTGATTTTCTTTCACTTCATTTAACTCACTCCTAAAAAATAAAGGAAAAAAAGAATTTTGGAAATTTTATTAGGAAAAGAATAATGTCAATTATTTGCTAAAATGACATTCTATTGTTGTTAAGATATTCAGAAACAACTGAAATAATATACAACATAGTAAAACAAAGTACTTGACACTATATTTGAAATAATAAAGTTAAATCTTACTTATCCCCTTTGATCCATCTTTCACCACTTGACACCCTCATTCTTTGAGCTCTCTGCATCTCTTGCCTCCAATGTGGAGGAGTCTCACTACGTCTGAAACGATCCCTTGACCTGGATCTGGAAGGAGTTCGGTAACGCTTAAGAAAATAAAAAGGGGAAAACGTTAACATAAAACTGTAAAACCATTATTAACAGCAGCTACAAATTATTAGTTCTATGTTTAAGTAAAATGTCTAATATTTCTGTTCTCTAATTTAAATTTTCTAATTTTCAGGCAGAAAAATCAATGAAGCAGAACAAGCTTAGTTTGTAAGTTCCAAATAAGAAACATTAACAAAAGAAAATCTAGCCATCGAGGGACATGTTCTATTTAAGTGATGCTAGAGTACATAATAGTTGCAGTAATGCTTATCAGTTGTCAAGTTCCAATTTGGAAGTATGTATCCTTAGTTTCACATTTCTCATACTGTAAGAAAGCTGATGAATGGATGCTTATATATTGAACCCTTATTTACTCAGCTCTTCAGATAGCCAACTAAGCTACCATACTGAAGAAACATTAAGCCAAGACATATCTGATTTTGCTCTCTTGGAACTTATATTCTAAAGGAACGATAGAATCATAAGTATTAAGCATAAAAGGCATCAGAGTAAGTGTAGAAAGGAGAAGTATTATGTGCTCTATATTTAACAATGAGATGTGACGTAGATTGGGGAAAAGGTGTGAGGAGTTAAATAATTAAAAGCTGGTAACTAAAGAGTATGTATAAGGAGTTACTTAGGCAAGAGTCAGAAAAAGGTATTAAAAGGGCCTTAAGACCCTGAGACCAGAAGAAATCATAACACATTTGGAAATACGAAGACAGGTTAGTATGCTAAAGATAAAAACTACAAAGGATAGTACTACTAGGTAATACTGATGAAGTAATAAGCGAGGACTAGATTTTGTGACATCTTATAAGACATGGTGATAATTTTATTTTTTTTCAAGATTTATTTATTTATGCCTACAAGAACTGGGGTACAGGTCAGAGATGTGGGGGGTGAGAGGATCCACCAGAGACAGAGTGGGGAACAGAGCAGACAGACTGACTGAAATACACTGCTGAGGTGAGCAGCGGGCAAGTCAGGAGAGGTCTGTGGGTTGCGCCATGTGGGTTGCTCCCTGGCCGGGGATCGAACTCATCCTGCAGCAGCTGTGGTAGCTTCATAGGTTGCGTCTTAACCCCTTATGCCACCAGGGAGGCCCGCCATGGTGATAATTTTAGATTTTTCCTAAAATCAGTGACAGGAATGACATACTCAGATATTTTTATTATTAATTTTTTAAATATTTTTTTTTTGAGGTAATGTTTACAATATTGTATGTGACTTAGGGGAATAGGGTCACACCTCTTCAGATGTTACCATACCATGTCCACCACCAATGCACCAGTAATCCTCCATCATAGTCTATTAGGTCCCCCCGCCCCCTCCGCACTGTGCCTGATCTGCCATCTTCTGTTCTGATAAAAGCAATTCTGCAGTGAGATGTCCAGGGTCTGTTTTGGTTTAGTTTTGTTTCTTTATATTTCACATGAGTAAAACCATCTGGTATGTCTTTCTCCTTCTTATTTTACTTAGCATAATCTCCTCCAGTTCCATCCATGTCGTTGCAAATGGCAAGAATTCATCTTTTCCTTAATAGCTAAGTAGTGTTCCATTCTATATATACACATCTTCTGTGCTCTATTGACAGGCATTTGTTTCCATCACTTGGCTGATATAAATACTGCTGCAGTAAACAGATAAGTGAATAATATCCCTTTGCATTAGTAATTCTGTATTATTCAGGTAGATACCTTGGATAGGAATTGCTGGATCACATGGTATAGCTAGTATTTTAAGGAACCTCCATACCGTTTTCCATAGGAGTTAGACCAGTCTATATGCCCACCACCAGTATATGAGGATTCTTCTTTCACTATCAATTACAAATGCTGTTTCTGACTTTTTGGCATGAGCCATTCTGAAGATTATAGTTCTCATTGTAGTTTTGATTTGCATTTCCCTGGTGATAAGTAATGTTCAACAATTTTTGTGTGCCTATAGGCCATTTGTACAACCTCTTTGGAGAAGGGTCTACTTATATTTAGGTCCTCTGCCCATTTTTTATTGCATTCTGTTATTTTTATATTGCATTGTATGAGTTGTTTGTAGATCTCTGATATTAGCTCTGTCAGATGTACAATGTGCAAATATTTTCCCCCACTCAGTAGGATGTCTTCATTTTAATGAGTTTTTCATTATGCAGAAGTTTTTTAGTTTGATATAGTCCCATATGCTTAATTTTGCTTTCGCTTCCCTTGCTTTAGAGTCAAAATCCCAAAGACATCACTGAAGCCAATGTTGTGGAGAGTTTTGCCTAGTTTTTCTTTCCCCCTTTTTTTTAAATTCACAATTTTTTTTTTTTACAGATTTATGCATACAAGAACTGAGGTATATGCCAGAGGTGCAAGGGGTGAGAGGATACACCAGAGACAGAGTAGGGAGCAGAGGGCATAACAGGAGAGGTCTACAGATAGCTTCACAGTGCTGTGCTTAATCCCCTATGCCACCAAGGGGGCCCCTAGGCTTTCTTTTTTGTAGTTCGTGGTTTCAGGTCTTACATTCAAGTCTTTAATTCATTTTGAGTTAATTGTGTGTATGGTGTGAGACACTTTCATTCTGTCACATGCAAGAGTCCAGTTTTTCTAACACCATTTGTTTAAGAGACTTTCTTTTCTCTACTGTATGTTCTTGGCTCCTTTGTTGTAAATTAACCATCCACACAAGTGTGGTTTATTTCTGGATTCTCAATTCCATTCCACTGATCCATATGCCTATTTTTATTCCAATATTATACTTCATGTTATGGCAGCGATGTAGTACAGTTTTGAAAACTGGTAGTGTGACACCTCCATTTTTCTCTTTTCAAGGTTCCTTTGTCAGGGTATTATGTGGTTCCCTGTGAACATCAGCAATGTTTGCTCTATTTCCTTGAAGAATGCCATTAAAATATGACTGGGATTGCACTGAGTATGTATACTGTTTTGTGTAAGATGGTCATTTAAACAATGTTAATTATTCCAATCCACAACCAAGGAATATCTTTCCATTTCTTTGTGTTCCAATTCTTTGAGTAATGTCTTCTAGTTTTTCCATTGTACAGGTCTTTCACCACCATTGTTAGGTTTATTCCTAGGTATCACACACTATTGCATATTGATTTTGTAGCCGCCATTTTACCATATTGATATAGTTTTCTTTTTTTAATTTTTTTTTATATATATTTTACATCATTCTTTTTTTTTCTTTTTTTTTTTTAAGATTTATTATTTATTCATACATTCACTGGGTACAGTCAGAAGCACGGGAGGGTGGGAGAATTCACCAGAGCCAGAGTGGGGAGCAGAGCAGGCAGAAGGACGGAAGTACACTGCTGAGGGGAGCAGCGGGCGGCAGGAGAGGTCTGCGCGCCATGTGGGACCCTCCTCTGGTGGCCAGGGAGCAGCCGGGGGTCGAACCGGCGCTGCAAAGGCCGCGGGCAGCTTCGCAACCCAGTGCTCAACCGCTGCGCCACCGGGGAGGCCCTGATATAGTTTTCAATGGTTTTTAAGTGGAATCTTTAGGATTTATTATGTATATTATCATGTTAGATTTTAATTTTTAAAAGACCATTCTGAATACTGTTAAGATAAATTAGGTCAGTGCTTTTAAAGGTGTTGTGTAGGGACTGCAAAATTCAAAAGATCTATGAGGGGTACAGGCTAGAGGCGCAAGAGGGTGACAGGAGAGGTATGCCTCACCATGTGGGAATCTCCCTGGCCAGCTGGGAATTGAACTGGCGCTGCAGAGGCTGCTGACAGCTTCACAGCGCTGCGCTCAACCCGCTGCACCACTGGGGAGGCCCAATCCTCTATAATTTTTCAGAGTTTAAAGAGGTCCTAAGACATAAAAATTGAAGATCTACCATAAGAGTTAGGTTACCATAAGAGTTAGGTTATAACTCAGAGAAAACGATTAATTGAATTAAGATGGTAAAAGTGGAGCTTCAAAAAACGGAAGCAATTGAATTAAGATGGTAAAAGTGGAGCTTCAAAAGAACTGACAATATCATGATAAGTAAGATATATGACAGGAAGGAATGGGGGAAAAGAAAATGATTCTCAGAGTCAGTTCAGATTTTGTATCTGCATAGGTGATGGTGTCTGTAACTGAGATCAGGAAGCTAAAGGAAGAGCAGGTGTGAAGGGGATGTGTTTAGGCTCAACACCATATTTATCCTGAGTATGACATGTCTATTAGGTAATTAAAGGCTCGAATGAGCCTTTGGGGACAGAAGAGCAGAAAATTTGATATTTATCAGCTTACATGCAGTCACTCAAGCCTTGGGAGTAATGAAATTGCAAAAGAAGCATAACTAGGTTGAAAAGAGTTAGAACCTGATATTTAAAGGTTTATTTAGAACCATATTTAAAGGTTAGGTAGGTTATCAGCTAGTCTTCCTTGGAAATTCAAGAGAGACTGACCAAAGGGGATATGAAAAAAATATAATGGAAGCATAGAGGAAAGAATATTATAAAGAGAGAAATTAAATAAGACAAAAACAAAGGATCCATTGGATTTTGTGATCTGCAACTGACGATATAGGAAGTACAGCTTTAAGTGAATGGCAGAAGGTAAAATGAAATGGTTGAGAAATGAACAGAAAGTGAGGAATTGACATAAGAAGTATAGCCTATTAAAGAGTTTTGAAAACAAAAGAAGATATTTAAATTCTTAAAGAGAGAATCTAGTAAAGAGGAAGAATGAAATATAAGAATAGGGTCAATTTTCATTTACTGGTTTGTAACAAAAGTAGAGATATAATCACCAGCAGACCCACAATAGACCTCAAGCTCCCATTTCACCATATACATGGATATTAATGGATTTTACCATTAATATCCATTAAATCCATTAATATCCCACAAACTTTCAGTTTGGAAATACCAACACAAGTAAGTTACTATAAAAACAGAAAATATAATTCAACAGTAACATCTACTCTAAATTTTAGGTATTTATAAGTAAAACAATATTTAATAAAAACTACAATGATTTAAGATAAATGCAAAACTATTAAGATTTCTGGAACGATTATCACCTACCCTTGGTCCTCTTCCTTTAATTTTTCTGCCAGACCTAGTAACTAAAAGTCGTCTCTGGTATGAAGCAGGTTGAGAGTTAGGTGGATTACTAGGAAAAAGCAAGTTTAAATTAAAACACATTATTTTATAAAGTGAATCTGGAGAGTAAGCTTTGCTTATCCAAACTGAGGAACATAAAGTCTTTGATATAAAATCAGTGGTTCTTAATAGGAATATTATCAATTCTTAGTAGGTATCTGGAAAAGTATGGGAATATTTTTTTCAATTGTCAATGAGTAGAGGGTGCTATTGGTGTTTGTGGTTCCTGAGTTAGGAATGCTAAAATCTTATATTGTGTAAGAATGAAGGACTATTTCCCATCACCACACCCATTGTGTCCTGTTAAGAAACACTTTACACAATCATTACTAAATGAAGTTAATTGATGGTGCTAAGGAAAATCAACATAGAAAAAAGCTCAAGGCAGGCGGTATGTTGACAAGAGAGCAATTTTTGAAACTTATTCCAAGGTGCCTTACTATCCTATAAATGCAGTTTTTCATTGGTAATAAAAGTATACAGACATGCAATTAATATGAATTAAGCAGCAACAAGATGGCCTGAATTAGCAAAATATTTTTATCAGGTTTTAACAAAAAATGGAAAACATTTGCATTCAAATAATGAGTTACTATTTACTGTTCACATTAACAATATCCATGTAAGTAATTTAACGTATACAAGTAAGTCAGTAAGATACCAATCTCACTTTAAATGAAATTTAGAATGTCATTTGACAATTTTTTTTGGCATTGGTAGTGCATATTTTTTTAGAAAAGTAATTTAAAATCTGAATTATGTCAATTATTTCTTAGCTATTTGGTTAGCAAAAAAAGGAGCTTTGCTAATTTTATCCTACAAAAGATGATTTTAATCTTGGGGGAAAATCACCAATTAAATCTTGAGTAAAATAAGTAAAAACTTTTTAAAAAATAAGACAAGTCTGGGATAAAAACAGTATAGGGCACACTACAAGACATGCACACTCACGTACCATTCTCGCTCTCGCTCTCGCTCTCTGTTTTTCCTTTCTTTTTCATCAGCTTTAGGAGGACTTTTTCTCATTAGGAATCTATTTTCAGGTACAGGAGGGATCTCTTCTGGACGAACAGTAGACTGGGGCTGTGCCTCAAGATTTTCAGCCTCACTTTCACTGGATGCACTTAACAGAAATACACAAAACAAATTCTATTTGGTTATTATGTATCACCAATGCCCAATTTCCAACTGTTATTTCTTTCCTTTATATATGTCACAATACATAGACCATCTTCGTATCCCTCACCCTCCTAAATGTGATTACATGGGAAAAATCTTCCTTCCGCTGACAAATTAACCAAACCGAAAAACCAATCCAATTGATTCCATTATCACATTCTCAAAAAATATTTTCCAATAAAATAGATCTAAAAATTAATAGTCCATGTGATAAATTACTTCAGACAAAATGGAATAGACATATGCTGATGTGGAAGCAAAGAAATAAAGGAAATAAAAAACAAGAGAGAAAATAAGAAAAACAACTGGTTTCCTATAATTTTCACGATCCTATAACCCTCCCACAAAATACAAATCTATAAAACCAAAAGTATCATTTCACTGAGTACAGACAAAACAACAATTTTGTTGAAAATGATAATAAATATCCGCCCCAATATAATCTACAAATTGTAGAATATTAAAATAGTACTGCAGTTCATGCTGTAAAGTAGTTCTTATAAGTCTCTTAACGTTCCCATATAACAGATTCAAAATCCAAATATACTTATTTATAAATAGAAGGGAATCAGAATATAAAGTTAGTAATATAAAAGTGAAATTAAGACCTTTTCTTGCTTTTCTTTCGCTTCTTCTTTTCTTTCTTGTGTTTTCGGGAATTCTTCCTATGTTTCTTTTTTCTTTTTTTTGATTTCTCTTCAGAAGCACTTTCAGAATCAGAAGAATCAGAAGAAGACTGAGAATCACTTGAGCTATCTGAGTCACTAGATGATGAAGATGATGATGATGAAGATTTATGTCTTTTCCTTTCTTCTTTCTTAGCTTTGATAAAAAACAAAAATGTTTGGTTCACACTATTGAGACAAATTTTTAAAGTGAAAATTCAGATCTTCTGCAGATTTAAAGTCCAACATTTAATACTTATTAAGCTCACCCAGGTATGAACTTGGGGTACAAGGCAAGCGTGTGGATTAGAATCCAGACCTCTAAATTCATGGATCAAAGTTTTATCTATTAAGCCAAAAAAAATGCGTAAATTTAACAGGTTAAGTCTAACACTAAACTAAGTTAATTTTATGAAATATCTGAATAACAAAGGTTTTTACGACTACAAGAATAATATTTAAGAGTCACAAATTGTTAAGTGACCTGTATTTTTTTTTCTTTTACCTTTTCTCTTACATAACGATGGGAGGTAGACCAGAGAAGAGATATTACAGACGAAATACTTTCCATTAATGTGGAAAGATAAAAAACATGATTCCCTTGGCATGGACTTATGTTTCAATGTCTAATCATTCCTCTAATGATTAAGTTAAGCTTGAATTGAGCACAGACTTATAGCACAAGGTAGCCACTTGCCAATGATTAGTAATATGTTTTGAAGTCTATACAAAAAAAGTAATTTCAAATAGAAACTTTATTTTGTGTTAAAAAAGTGACCCAAAATTATAAAAGGGACCCAAAAATTTATATGCTTTAGAGATTATATAATTAACATAAATAAGTGAAGTCAACCAGGGTATAATAAAACTGAAATTGGGGGAAGATTAAGTATAAAGTAGATAGAACTGACCAATATAAAAGGCACTATAATTTAAACCATACCAGACTTAAAAGCTGAATGGATCCCAGAGGTTAACAGCTTCACTGAACTATGGCAGTACTTCCTCACCTCAGGACCAGGAACACATCAAGAGTGAGATACCTACAACTTAATGCAAGCTATATCTGGACATAACTTGTGCTCTTTTCTGTCCTGAATCACTTCATAAAGTAAATTTAGTGCTGGGTAGAGCCTCACTTGTCTGACATGTCCAAATGTTAATCTGAAACCAAAGACCATTGTAACTAGTAATGCAGAGTGGGTACACAAACATGTATAAATTGAAAAATCTACTTATACATACTAAAAACCTGAGGGATTGCAGAGAGGGAGGAAAATCACACCTATAAAGAAATCAAAGGGAGAAAATACATTCATAATGAATGTGACTAAAAAAACTGCGATCACAATGTAAAAGCAAGATTTGTAACTACTTCTACAGTAATATTATCCACTTGAGTGTAAGATGATATCAACCATAAAAAGAAAATAAACTATTTTAGGAACAAAGTCTTAGAAGAGAGCTTAGAAAGTTCCAAGATTGAAAAAATTTTCTTCTTTTGATGTTTGTCAATACCATTCTATGAGTGAAATTTAATTTAGTTGTCCTTTTCCAATGAACCAGTACAGAAAAAAAAAAATGAAGAAAGAATTGACAGTTAAAGGAGAGAAAAGTAAAAAGATGAACAAAAACAGAGGCATAATAATATCAATTCCAATAGACTGCAGTAAGCATGAACTTCAAAATCTGTGTTCACCTAAATTATGACTTAGGCATACTGTCATTTTTATCTTCCTAGAGTCAACAATTATGTTTAACTGAACATTATACAGATAAAGCTCAGAAAATAAAAAATTAAGCAACAAATTTTACAGAAGACCCTTTATAAAGAGTTTTAGAAGTGAATATGGTTAATGAGAAAAGAGTTAAGTAGAAAGGTTTAGGGGAATTATAGTTCTGTTATTATACAACTTATGTGTTCCTATAAATCACTGGTCTATGAAAAATTGCAAATAAAAAACCACATGGCTTATGGGAAAGGAGCTGGGACACAAAACTCAGCAACTTCACCTGTGACACATTAAAAAATAAAAGAGGAAATAAAAATGGCAGTAGAGTGCTAAATATATAAAAATGGTTAAGAAATATGGGACTGGTGGCACAAAGGGGTTAAGCACAGCACTGTAAAGCGATCAGCGCGAGTTTGATCCCTGGCCAGCCAAGGAGCTACCCACATGGCGCAGCAGACCTCTCCTGCCTCACTCACTGCTCTCAGCAGTGTATTTCAGTCAGTCTGCCTGTTCTGTTCCCCACTCGATGGTGATTCCTCTTACTCCCCGCAGCTCTGGCCTGTACCCCAGTTCTTGTATGGATAAATAAATCTTAAAAAAAAAAAAAATATATATATATACATACATATAAACAGTAAATATGGCATCTTACTTTGAAATAGAACCCGGAGACTGGTAGATGTTCAAGTCATATGGGGTATAGCTTGTGAGTTACTATAAAGTGATCTGAAATTAAATGGGAAGTTTGAGCAGCAGATTGTGCATAAGTATAGTTTCTTTTTTTATTTTAAAGATTTATTTATTTACTTATACAAGAACTGGGGTACAGGCCAGAGGTGCGGGAGGGTGAGAGAATTTACCAGAGACAGAGTGGGGAGCAGAGCAGGCAGACCGAAGACATTGCTAAGGGGAGCAGCGGGCAAGGCAGGAGAGTTCTGCCCCGCCATGTAGGTTTCTCCCTGGCCGGCCAGTAATCGAACCCTCGCTGCAGAGGCTGTGGACAGCCTCACAGCGCAGTGCTCAACCCTCTGCACCACCAGGAGGCCCTAATAAGTATAGTTTCTAACACAAATGAAGTACTGAGGCAGCTTAGTAGATCTTTGATGTATGTGCATGTAACATTTTATGTACTGGGCCTCCCTGGTGGCATAGGGGTTAAGTCTCAGCACTATCACTGTAGTGGCCTAAATTCGATCCCTGGCCATGGCCATTGAGTTAGTGCACATATGGCACAGCAGACCTTCTCCTGTCTCACCCTCTATTCCCCTTAGTAGTGTATTTCAGTGGATCTGCCTGTTCTGCTCCCCCACTCTGTCTCTGGTGAATCCTCCCTGACCCCAACTCCCGCCCCAGCCTACATCACAAGTCTTCAATGCATAAATAAATCTTAAAAAATGAAAAGATTTTTATGTATTCCCATGCAGCTGTTCAATGGGAACAAACTGCACATTTTCAAAGCAAGCAATATAGCTGATCTGACTATATTAGAATCTAACAGGGGTAGAAAAAGTAGTGGGGAAGTAGTTCTGTAGAGAACTTGCAAAGTGCTAATAATAAGCATTGCAAAAAGTTCTTTATGTGTACAATTAATTTTTCTTTAATTGTGGCAACAGTTTTTACAACATTGTATGTGATCAGAGGCAGAGGATCACACTTCCTCAGATGTATGCCACTACACCCATCAAAGCACCAATAGTTTTATGGGTATAATTTAAGGGCGAGTAAATTTTAGATATAAAAGGGAGAAGGTTTTTCACATAGGTGAAAAGTTTGAAGAAAGAAATCGAGCAATTCTGAACAAGAGAATAGTATTATCTCCCTACCCTCCTAAGTATAAGCAGAAATGCCAGATAAAATACAAAAGAAAAGAAAAACAAAAGTAAGACTCTGAAAGAAAGATGGCAGAATGGCCAGGGATCTCTGTATTTGAATATTATATGACGGTTTTCAATTTGCCTCCCATATTATATACCCTAGACTTCACATGCAAATCAGAAATGCCTATGGGCACAAACTTTAAAATGTCCTCCCCACCCACAAAAGCATTGGGAAAATATGGCTTCACAGGGCAAAATTTGTTACCAATACCTCTCCACTACAAGCAAATGTCAGAGGGGGAAAAAGCCATCCCACATGGCCCTAACGGCAAAAACAAAGTAGGAAGCTTAGATTTTTGATTACCTCTATCTCCACCCTAACCTAATCCACTGCCTTGTGATAGAAAGAAGTGCTTCTGCCCCATCCCTTGCCAGAGTGATGTCAGTGGAGACAAAGCGAGACACCTAGGCTTGACTCAAGAGTGACTCCCCAGGCCTACGCCCCTGCAATGGCAGGTGATAAGAATTTCGAGAAAAGGGAGGTGGAAAGATTTTTTTGCATATATGAAATATGAAGTCATGTGAAGACCCTCAAGTGAAACTGATGAGAACTATTATGGCAAAAGGTTTGAGAATTAAACTACAGTGTTTGTATCCAGGTTTTCAGTTTGTATCCACGGGCAGCAGTGAAACCAGAGTTCACAAAAGTAGACCAGTAACTACATACTAAACCTAAATAGTGACTGTCTGTTAATATAGAAAATATAAACGAAATCTAGAATTCCATAATACCTAAAATGTTTGATACAAACATAATTATCACCAACCAACTTAAAGTGAGAAAAGGCATTTAAAACATGCCAATACTGAGAAAACAGAGGTTAGAATTGATATGGATGTTAAAGAAGTCATCTTAAAAAGTATCAATGAGTAACTAACACTCTTGAAAGAAAGGAAAGCGAAAGTCTCAACAAAGAAGATACCAGATACTCATGGGAATTTTAGAACTGGAAAAAACAATAAACAAAATAAAACTTCACTGAACATTATCAATACCAGAGAGATGATAGGAAAGAGTCAGTTAACCAGTAGGTAGACCAGCAGAAATGACTCAACCTGGATATCACGGGAATACAAAATATAATAAACAACAAAAAGAGAAACATTTGTGTTATCAGAATCCCAGAAGAAAAAGTGTGAAGTTGAAAAATGTTTCTTAAAAAGTGGCAGAAAATTTCACAGTTGGCCTAAAATACAGACCTACAGATTCAAGAACTAAGCAAACCTCAAACATGATAAATACTATATAATCCACATTAGGGAGGAATGCGTGGCGTAATCTTACTAATCAAGTGTTGATTTCACTTGTATAATATTATGGTTAAAAAAACAAACTCCAGGACATTTTACATAAAAATCTAGGATTTGCTTGCTGACTGGTTTACATAGATTTTAATACCAATGAATTTCATGTGAAACTTTTATAATGAGGTCCTCATCAAGTAAAACTTGAAATAAAGAATAGAACTAATCTTGAAATAGGTCTCCTTTTTAGATATTCTCTTTTTGGACTCCTCCTCCTCTAGACAGTTTCTAAATCAACAGCCCACTATTCTCCAGTAAAAGGATTTTCATCATGGCTCTTAATTTCAGAATAAGAACACAGAAACGGAATCCTGTTCAAAGAGATAGGACTTTCTAGAATTCTTCTCCACTATCTCCATAGTACAAAATTCACCACCTGCTTCCTATACTGTACTCTTTTTTTCTGTATTGCCAGGTAATCTGTTCCCTAACACATATTTGCAAAACTTCTCACAGTACTATTTATTGCCATGTTGCCACAACTCAACATTTGTGTTTACTTCGTAATATAACAGTGGCCCCATCTCTTGCTGCATGGCCAAGGCAGACAGACCTCTCTTTAACAACTGCAGTGAATTCTGAAAAGATCATCATGACCTAAGTGAAGCCAACTCCTGAAAAACCAAGAAATACCTTAAGGTAGTGGTTTCACTGTCTGGGCCTATCATTTACTCTGCCCCTAGGAAAAACAGATTTTGTTAGCCTCCAGTGTTCCACCACTGCATCTGCTAATAAGTTAGTCTCTTTGATTCTGATCTGTCTCGGGCACATTCAAATAGCCACACACACACACACACACACACACACACACACACACACAACCAAGAAACAAAGCAGAACAAAACTCAGAACTTTCAATCTTGCAACAGCAAAGGGAGAAAAGCCCAAGAAGATTGCTCCAGACTCACCAAGACCATATACAGGGGGGCCCAGACAGTCAGATTTCTTCAGAAGTCTTTTTGTTTTCTTTCAGGAAGTTAGAAAAAGAAAAAAAAAAGATTCTGTATTTATTCCTTTTTTTTTTTAAACTGAGGTGTAAATCTTTCAAACATGGTTTTAAATATGATGATGAACACCACAGTGTTGAACAAAGCTTTTTGACTATTCCCAATTCAAAATTCTTATTAGGAGGCCATCAAACTTATAAATTAGATGTAAAACACAGCTTTACCTAAGAAGTTATTACATCAATGCATGAAAAAATCCATTCTGACCGACGTTCTAATGGCAACCAATGGACTACAGGATAATAGATGTCAAACTCTATGATCTTAAACATAAAATTCTTTTCCTCTTTCCACACTGTGATCCAGAGCAGAGTAGGCATGGCTTACAACTCATCTAACATTTTCAGGAACTCCTAGGCAAACAATGAAAGAGAACAAATGTCTCCAACTGCTGAAATGGATAGAGGCAAGGTATGTTAGCTTAGCATGAGTTTAAGGAATGCGCACTAAGATACTACTACATGAACTTTCAGCACAACTTCCTGGCCACAATGCCATAAGCAAAATTAGCATGTACTTCTTTGGGTGAAAATACACTATATAAGGACATAATAGTATAAAAGAGTGATATTCATTCACTTCCTCATCCTTTTACAAATTAATTCAAACACTGACCTTCTAGTACCAAAAGAATCTTTACACAGAAATTATCATCGATAAGCCATGATACCTGTTTATGATTTAAAAGTAAGCTTTGTTATTACCTCAATCATTCTGAATATATAAACCACACAGCACCCTTAACTTTTATAAGCAGGGAATAGATCCTAACACAAGAGACCCTAAAGACCACAAAACAAAAAATAATTTGTCAAGTAGAGAATAAAAGATGAAGATTTCCTAGACGACGTGGGAAGAAATAATTTAGCCTTAAACCAAAATATTCCAATTGTACTAACACTGGAAAGAACTAAACATCAGTCAGCAGGATCTAAACTTTACAAATATTAATATATGTTGCTTTTATTGCTTACTAGTTTTATTTTTTTAAAGAATGATTCCTCTACTATAAGATTTTTTTTTTTTGGCATAGGAGAACTAAAGTATAGGCCAGAAGTGTGGGGATCGGTGGCGAGAGGATTCACCAGAGACAAGACTAGGGAGCATAGTAGGCAGATCCACTGAAATATACCACCAAGGTGGGCAGCTGGCAAGATAGGAGAGGTCTGCTGCCATGTAGGTTAGCTCCCTAGCTGGAAATCGAAAACAGGCTACTTTGCAGCAGAGGGCCATCGAAGGGATAGCACTGAGACTTAATGCCTAGTCCTTTTTTTTTTTTTAAATAATCATCAACACCTTATTCTTTAGGAGTCTTCACAAAACAAGGCATACATTCTATGTTATTTTTAAATAAGTACAGATGGTCAGACTCCTGAACACTAACATTAAATGAGCCGTAGCCCCATTATGGGCTGTAGCATATTCCTGTAACTGATAACATAATATATATTTGATATAACAGAGAAGAAAATTAAATAATCAGAATCAAAGTAGAATGCAGAGAAAGAAAACTAGAAATAAGCCAACTTTATGCCTATCTTGGGTCTTTTGAATTAACACAAAGCAAAATGTTTCTAAATGATTTCTAAATGCTACAGAGCAAATCAGTTTATCTAAAACTTGAGTTAAAGAATGTTCTACCTTAGACCAATTGTGAAAGGTTAAGTTAAAGACATTTAAACTTTAATGAGTTAGCAACACACAATGAAAAAAGCTCTAGATGTAGAGCCATCAAACATGGGTGATGGTTTCCTGGTTTCCCTCTGGTTTCCTGAAGCAGTAAATAATGTAATCTCACTTCTCTTCATTTGTAAAATGAGGGAAATACTACACAGAGCTATTATAATGATCAGAGAAGATGACTCTCATATTTGTTAACTATGAAAAACCAAGTATTGGTATTACTATTCCCTAAGCTAGTCAAAATAGAAAGACCAGAGTCAGTTAACATTTTACTGCTTTGCAGGTAATCTCATTCCATTACTTTTAGTGTAATGCATGGTACCAATTACATATTTTATGTATAATATAAAGACTCAAAATAATTACTTAAAACAAAGTTCTTACCATTTCAGATAAAATCATATGAAACTATCAATCATGTTAACTTCAAATTTTCTGTTCTAAGAGATGCTTCTGAATTGAAGCAGTTCCTGAGGGGGAAATAATTTATAGTATTTCCTAGTCTATATTTTTGTCTTCATTTGCCATCAACAACTAAGCATCTGTTTTCCTTAAAGAGTATTTATTTACCAAGCTATTTAAACAACTACAATTTAACAACAAAAAGTGGAAGCAGAAAGACAAATAACTACCAAACAAGGAAAATTTAAGCAATTAATTATGAATTACAATAAAGTATAATAAAAAATATATTTAATAAACCAAACCCCTCTTATCCATATGCACATTAACTATTTAGAGTTTATGTTTGTTTTCAATGCATAAGAATCAGAAAATACCAGTAAATACTATCAGACATATTCACTTGTTGTTACCTTTAGATTTGGGAATTAGCTCTCCACAACTGAGTATCCGCACTTCAGCAAATGGTTTGCTAGCTGCATCTGTCTTCTGGTTTTCTATTTCTCTTACAACTTCTTGACCAGAAATCACTTGCCCAAAAACAACATGATGCCTGAGGAATCAAGTAAAAATGGTTCAATAAAAGTTTCTTATTTTAATATTAATTTAAAGCAGGTAACAAAGTAAATAAAATAATCTTTACCCATCTAAATGAGGAGTTGGTTTCGTTGTTCTTTTTGGAAGTCATCAGATAGAAGAATAAAAACAAAGTCAGAGAAAAACAAAGTTAGCATCTCTAAAAAGGAAAAGAAAATAACTGCATTGGAAACAAAGTTGTAAAAAGAAATCATGCCAATTTAACATAATAGAAACCTATATTAACCATAAGTACTATTAATGCAATAAGTTTTCCACATTTTAAAAAACTTATTCTGATTATAAATACCTAGTCATTGTTGAAAACTTATATGTTATTAAAACTGGTGTTATTTCTATCCATCCATGTTTCCTGTATGTGACTGGGTTTTTATTGAATATTTATGGTTGTATAATGCTTTACCACATGGGCAATACCATGTTTATCAAACCATTCTACCAATTTATGTGTTTATCAATTGTGTTTTTCTATCTTAACATTTTAAACAGTTAAAAGCATGGGACATATTTTGATGGACCTCACACATGTTCTATAGGACCTGAATAGAAATGGGCCATATAGAGTTTATAAAATTTTAAGTGAGGTGTAAATATTTAAAATTTTGAATACTTTTACACAAAAATCTAGATTTCAGACCCTTCTGAAAACCTGGAGGAGTGACAATGGTCATAACTGAGTGTTCCTGTCTTATTTAATACAATGATCAATAGTTTAAGTTTCTGTCCTAATAGGCTTTACTTGCTTATGTTATTTGCCTAAGACCTGTAGGTTTTTGAGTTCGTTACTCTTAACATAAAGTAAATATCACATTGAAGAAAGATCTGTATGGATTTGTGATTTTCTAGTTTACTTCTTAATCCGATGCTATCATTAGTTATTTTCATGACGAAATTGTCTTATTTGGCCAATGGGAACCCCACCCCCTTCAAGCTGGCTCCTGTGTTCTCTAGACAAGTCTTTATCATTTACTTGAACAGCACAGTTTAACTACCCTTTGAAGAATTTTCTCTTCTTAAAGAATTCTCCTCTTCAGGCCTCCCCTGGTGGCGCAGCGGTTGAGCGCTGGGCTGCAAAGCTGCCCGCAGCTTCTGCAGCGCAGGTGAGGGTCTCACATGGCACGCAGACCTCTCCTGCAGCGCCCGCTGCTCCCCTCAGCAGTGTATTTCGTCGGTCTACCTGTTCTGTTCCCCGCTCTGGCTAATTCTCTTACCCTCCCGCGCTTCTGACTACCCAGTGCTTGTATAAATAAATAAATAAATCTTAAAAAAAAAAAAAAAAAAAAAAAAAAAGAATTCTCCTCAAGAATTCCTCTTACTTATTAGTGATTGATTACTTATTAGTGATCAATGCCAGGCAGGCACAGAGAGAAATGGAACACAACAATCAACAGGTAATAAATACTTACATGAAAAACTGTGAACCATTTGTATCCTTCCCTCTGTTGGCCATTGACAAGAGAAATTCTTTGTTGTGTTTAACAGCAAAACTCTCATCTATAGAGAAGCAAAGTTCTAATTTACATTATAGACATAACCACCAAAACTTTCATTTTCTGTCCTTCATACCTTGTGTTCTTTAATGGCAGACAAAATTTAAATAAGTCAAATTACAAAAGGAGCATCAAATATTAACAAACCCTTTTATAGTTTCCCTTGCTCTATAAAACCCAAATACTGCATCAACTTCCCTTCTGTTTACATTTCTCCTTTACATTTTTTGAAAAAGACAACATAATTTTTTTTGCTTATTTAAACAAGAAACGAAATGTTCTTTAAAAAGAACAAGAATGAGGGTCCTCCCCTGGTGGCACAGCAGTTGAGCGCTGGCCTGCGAGGCTTCCCGCAACCTCTGCAGCGTTGGTTCGTTCCCCGGCCGCTGGCAAGGGTCCCACCCAAAAAAAAAAAAAAAAAAAAAAAAAAAAAAGAATGAATCCAGACAGGATTCCTTTTTCATTTCAGAGCACAAAAAGGCACTCATTAACTCAATGATGCCATAAGCCTCACTTTTTGCAAAGAGCAGCTTGCCCTCCAACTCTGGCCTCAAATATGAAAACAAAACATGTGGAATATGAAGCAAAAGTTCACTGAATCCCCAAAGTGAAAGATGGAAAATACTAAATAATTTCTACACTAACAGAGTATTTCAAATGATCCTCACATTAGTAAAAAAAAAATCCCAGAGAAATCTCGTTTGAGAAAACCATTATAGCAAATTTTAGAACATCAAAGAAATTGTTTGAAATCTTAAAAAAAAAACCCTACTAAAATATTTAGAGGACATTGTTACTATGAAACACAACTGATTTCCTTAATAAAGATTAAGATCATGCCATGGGGATCCTATTCTGATACTACAACTCTACGTGTTTATTACATAATTCATTTAAATCTTCCAAATAATGTACTACTGCTGTTTAAAAAAAAAAACAAAAAAACTTTTTTTTTATAAAAAGGCCATCTCATAAAATTTCTCACAAGAAAATTAACCTCTAGATTCAAAGTAGTCTAACATTACTATACTGTTTAATGAATCTTATTGTTCAACAAAGAAAAATCAAATAAATAGAAAACAATTTAAAAGTAAACATTTTTAATCAATGCAATCTAGTATCCTTTTTGTTTCCACTTGACTTTATATTGTGGGAATCCTTCCTTAAAATTAAATAGGATTTGGGGTTCCCCTGGTGGGGCAGGCGGTTGAGCAGAGCGCTGTGAAGCTGTCTACAGCCTCTGGAGTGCCAGTTCGATCCTGGCCAGCCGGTGAGGGTCCCACATAGCGTGGCAGACCTCTCCTGTTGCGCCCACTGCTCCCCTCAGCGGTGTATTTTGTCAGTCTGCCTGTTCTGTTCCCCTCTCTGTCTCTGGTGAATCCTCTCACCCTCCTGCGAATCTGGCCTGTACCCCGGTTCTTGTAAAAATAAATAACTCTTAAAAAAAAAAAGAATTAAATAGGATTTGAAAACATGGCTTTTAAGTATTTCACAGCATTCTATTGTATGAATTTAGCATCATCTATTTAACAAATCCCCTAGTTATTTGTCATTTTTTCTTTGTTTTTGTTTTTTTGTTGTTGTTAAATGTAAACATTTTTACCTTCAAAAAATCCTCCATAAATAGATTCCCCTCCTCTTCCATTTCCTATGAATGAAAAAAACATGGACTCAGAACTCTCAAGACAGTATCTCCTTGAAGTCCTATCAAAGCAAAATGTTTCTTACAAAGTACTTGAATGACTTTGATTCAACAATGCTCAAATGGTAAATCATAAAAGATATTAAAATCAATACTGACAAGATCCCAAATTACTTTTCCCTGATACAGTCAGTGCTTAGCAAGTTTCAAAGCCTATTAAGGTATATGGGAAAAAGAATTTTCAAATTCTATTGACGATTATGCAGGTCTTTTAACAGAAAATGTGACATTTTTTTCATATTATCTTTAAAAAGAGCTTCAATGCTTTTACCATAAGCATAGGTAAAAACTGTACTGTAGTAAGGATTGCTAGTTGTGACTCTCAAACACACTGAATAGTGAATATAGTAATTTGCTTTATACGCAGAAGCAAATTGCTAAAATTAGTTCATCAGGGAAATTACTTCATATGTGGTTCTTTTTTTTTTGTCTACGTCTATGAGTAATTCTAATTGTTTAACAAAAGACTAAATAAGCTGAGAAGAAAAGTGAACTAGCACTTCCAGACTTATCAAACCTTGAGGTCTATATTTAATGAAAATATATGATTTTCTTTAGTGAGAATCAGAGTCTTACCTTCACTGAAGTCACCACCTTGAACCATAAAGTCTTTAACAACTCTGTGAAAAAGACAACTTTTATAATGTAATGGTTTCTGAGTTGATTTTCCTGTCCCCTTTTCACCTACAGAGAAGCAAAATCAGTAGACCATTTAGTACAAAGGAAAACAAAGTAGAATTTTAAGCAAATCAATGATTAAAGCTTCTGAACTATAAAATATACCTTTCTTAAGCTATATACAGACTTCTTTAAACTACAGAATTTTCATTCCCATGAAGTTTTTAAAAATTCATTGAAAATCACCTTTGTTATTCCTGGAGAAGTCAATCTTAGATAAAATCCCATTACAATTAACATTTCTAAAAACTACTATCACATGCTAGTCAATGTCACATAATCTGCATGTTTAGATTATGTACTATGCACAAATCTAAAATATGACTGATCAATAATTAAAGTAGTCATGGTCAAATAATACTATCTGGGCAAATGAAAACGTCAACAAACCTGTACAAAGACAACGGAAGTTCTCGCAAGTTTTGGGGCATACATCAGAAAATAATTCAAAGACAACTCTTCCAGCTGAAAAAGAAGATAGTTGGTTTAAACTTCCTTACCAATTTAAAGTATTAAATATTATTTGTAAGTTTTTATAGGAACATTAATTTTCTTACCAGGTTGATTATTAATGGCGATGTCAAAAAAACATCGAGGACGCTGAACTTTTATTCCCATGGCTCCAATACTTCAATCTATGAGTAAAATATAATTTCAGGCAAACAAACTAAACAGCAAAGATTTCTTATGAACTTCTGAGGGAAAAATTGTAGAGTATAAACAGCTTGAATTTATTCTGATACTTACTTCTATAACTCACATAGATTAATATTCTTTTTAGAGTTAGATTACATTGTGAGGCAAATAATATGGATGTAAAAGAAAAGGCTTAGCCATTATCATAACAAAATTTCTATTTTATGAACTACATATTGATTGCCCAGCCAAACATAAAATTATATTAATTCTGTATAGCTATAAATGCAACAGGCAGATTATCCTTAAAAAGAGAAAAAAAAAAATCAAGGGCAAATTGATCTAATCTCCTCCTGGAAAATGAAAATGACAATTTTGATTAAAATGGTGTATTCAAATTCCTAAAAGGTACCGAAGACAAATTGTAGAGAAAGATAGTGGGCTATTTAATAATGAAATACGGTAATTTACATTCTGAGTAAAAACAACTTTACGTTTACACATGAAGCTGCTGATACACTAGTGTATACACCCTGTGAGATGCTGTAAGTTTTCTCTACATAGCAGACAGCTATTATTTAACCCAGTCTTTTAATAAGGCATTTACTTTAAGACCTTAAAATACTTGAATTGTAATACTTGGGTAGAGAACGATAAAGAGAAGAGCACTCACACATCAGACTATATCAATTTCAACTCTTCAGAAATATATGTGTTTTTCTGAAACGGTCACATTTCAACGATGCATACTTATTTCCTGTGAAGCTCTGAAAGGTCTATACTCTATACTGAACAGATTCCGCCTCTTATCAATTTTTAATTGTAGATTCACATGCATGTATAGAAAATAAGAGATACAGAATATGCATTTTAGACAGTTTCCCCCAACGGTAACAATGTACAAAACTGTATTGTGACAATTGTGCTACAAAAGCCTATAAATGCTGATACACTTACTGTATTCACATTTTTTCAGTTTTGTACTCATTAGTGTGTATTCAGTTCTACACAATTTTCTCATGTCGATCCATTATCTATCATCACCTTTTATTAATTTCACACAATAAAAGCAAAAACAGTAAATTATATGTATTTGTTCAATTGTTTCATATAGATTATGAGAATCAGGGATTACATAAAGATTATTTTGCATTTGAATTCAACACAAGGTATATTTACTTTTGGCATCATTGCATGGAAAATGGGGGGTATACTTTTTTTTTTTTTTTTTTTTTTTTTTTTTTTTTTTTTATAGAGGCATGCTTTATTTATTTGTTTGCTGGTTTGTTTGTTTGTTTTGTTTATACATGCACTGGGTACAGTCAGAAGCGCGGGAGGGCGAGAGAATTCACCAGAGCCAGAGCGGGGAGCAGAGCAGGCAGAAGGACCGAAGCACACTGCTGAGGGGAGCAGCGGGCGGCAGGAGAGGTCTGCGCGCCATGTGGGACCCTCCTCTGGTGGCCGGGGAGCAGCCGGGTATCGAACCGGCGCCGCAGAGGCCGCGCGCAGCTTCGCAACCCAGCGCTCAACCGCTGCGCCACCGGGGAGGCCCAAAATACCAGCCTCGTCCCTGGGTGGGCTCGAACCACCAACCTTTCGGTTAACAGCCGAACGCGCTAACCGATTGCGCCACAGAGACACAATGGGTATACTTTTTTAAAATAACTTCCTCTGGTTTTTATTGCTAACAGATGTATACTAGAATTTGTCTCACACAATACAAAGCAAAAATTACCTCTCAATTTTCCACTAGACTACGGATATTGACTTCTTGAAAATGAAGCAAACAAAAACCTAGCAATTTTATTACCTTGTCATGTTTGTCACATTAAGTTTTACAGGCATACCCCATTTTATGCTTTTTTAAATTGTGCTTCATGTATATTACATGGCTCTTTTTTTCCTTCAAATTGAAGGTCTGTGGGAGTCCTGATTCAAACAAGTTCAACATCACCGTTTTTTTCCAATAGCATATGCTTACTTCATGTCTATCACTTTTGCAATTGTCACAATATTTCAAAGCTTTTCATCATTATTACATTTGTTACAGTGATCTGTGATGAGTGATCTTTGCTGTTACTACTGCAATTGTTTTGGGGCACCATGAACTGCACCCTGTAAGATGGAAAATGTAATCCATAAATGTGTACATTGTAAATGCTCCCCATCTCTCTCCCTTTCCTCATGCCTCCCTATTCCTGAGACACAATATTGAAATTAGCCAACTAACGGCCTCTAAGTATTCGAGTGAAAGGAAGGGTTGCATGATTTTCACTTTAAATTAAAAGCTAGAAATGATTAAGCTTACTGAGAAAGGTTTTTAAGCCAGTTAGTCAAATTGTGAATGTAAAGAGGAGTCCTTGAAGGAAAAGAAAAGCGTTAATGCCAGTGAACACATGAACCATTGGGAAGTATAACAGCAATGCTGATGTGGAGAAAGTTTTAGTGATCTGGGCAGAAGACCAAATCAGTCACAACATTCCCTTAAACTATAGTCTAATCCAGAGAAAGGCTGTTAACTCCATGACTCTAATCAATTCTATGAAGGTTAGAGAAAGTGAGGAAGTGCAGAAGAAAAAAATATGAAGCTTAGCAGAAACTGGTTCATGAGATTTAAGAAGTTATCACAGTAACATTAAAGTGGAAGGTGAAGGAGCAAGAGCTGATGTAGATTCTGTAGCAGGTTATCCAGAAGATCTAGTTTAGATCAATGATGAAGGTAGCTACACTACGAAAACAGATTTTCAATATAGCTGACCTATTTTTTTTTAAATAGGTCTATTTATTTATTTTTTTAATTTATGCATATAAGAACTGGGGTATAGGCCAGAAGTGGGGGAGGGGTTAGAGGATTCACCAGAGACAGAGTAAAGAATCAGTCTTTTATTGGAAGATGCCATTTATGATTTTCTTCAGAGAAGAAAATACCTAGCTTCAATGGACAAGTTGATTCTTTTAGTTTTTTTTTTTTTTTTTTTTTTATAGAGGCATGCTTTATTTATTTGTTTGCTGGTTTGTTTGTTTGTTTTGTTCATACATGCACTAGGCACAGTCAGAAGCACGGGAGGGTGAGAGAATTCACCAGAGCCAGAGTGGGGAGCAGAGCAGGCAGAAGGACCGAAGTACACTGCTGAGGGGAGCAGCGGGCGGCAGGAGAGGTCTGCACGCCATGTGGGACCCTCCTCCGGTGGCCGGGGAGCAGCCGGGGATCGAACCGGCGCCGCAGAGGCCGCGGGCAGCTTCGCAACCCAGCGCTCAACCGCTGCGCCACCGGGGAGGCCCTTTTAGTTTTATTTTTTTAAAGATATATTTATTTTATGCATACAAGAACTGGGGTATAGGCCAGAGGGGGGTGTGTGTGTGTGGGGGGGTCATGGTAAGAGACATCACCAGAGACAAAGCAGGGAACAGAACAGGCAGAATGACTGAAATACACTGCTGAGGGGAGCAGTGGGCAAGCCAGGAGAGGTCTGCTGCACCATGTGGGTAGCTCCCTGGCTGGGGATCGAACTCTATGTGCTGCAGTGGCTGCAAATAGCTTCATAGGTTGCGTCTTAACCCCTTGCGCACCAGGGAGGTCCTGATTCTTCTTTTAGGGGCTAATGCAGTTGGTGACTTTAAGTTGAAACCAATGCTTGCCATTCCAAAAACCCTAGGGTCCTTAAAACTGAAACTATACACTGGCTGTGCTCTACAAATGGAACAAAGCCTGGATGGTAATACATCTGTTAACAAGGTTTACTGAATATCTTAAGTCTAATGTTCAGAAGAAAAGACTGATTTTAAGATGTGTGTGCTCACTGACAATGCATCTGGTCACTCATCAGCTCTCACAGAGATATACAAAGAGATGAATGTTGTTTTCATGCCTTCTAAGATAATAGTCATTGTGAGCCCACACAAATCAAGGAGTCAATATGATTATCAAGTCTGATGATTTAAGAAATACTTTTTTGTAAGGCAATCATTACCACAGGATAGAAAACAGTTATTTCTCTGATGGATGTAGAAAAAGTCAATTGAAATTCTTCTGGATTGACTTACTAATCCAGATGTTACTAAGAACATTCATGATTTGTAACAGCTCAAACTATCAAAATTAATAGGAGTTTGGAAAAAGATAATTCCAAACCTCCTGGGTGACACTGAGGAATTCAAGACTTCAGGGAAGAAGTAACTGCAGAAAATAGAAAACAAATTATAAGTAGAGTCTGAAGAGGTAAATGAATTGCTATTTCATGACAAAACTTAAATGGATGAGGAGTTGCTTCTTATGGATAAGCAGAGACAGTGGTTTCCTGAGATGGAATCTGTTCCTGCTGAGGATGCTGTGAACATTGTTGAAATGACAACAAAGGATTTTGAATATGACATAAACTTGGTTGATAAAACAGTGGCAGAGTTTGAGAAAATTGACTCCAATTTTGAAAGAAGTTCTGTAGGTAAAATGACATCACACAGACTTATAGGATTCCAAGAAATTGCTCATGAAAAGAAGAGATAGACAACATAGCAAACTTCATTGTTGTCTTACTTTAAGAAACTGCCACAGCTGGGGGCCTCTCTGGTGTTGCAGGGGTAAAGTATCAAAGCTATCAAGCTATCACCAGCCACTACACCATGCGTTTGATCCCCAGCCAGGAAGCAAACCCATATGGTGCAACTGACTTCTCCTGTCTCGCCTGTTGCTTCCCTTAGCAATGCATTTCAGTACATCCACATGTTCTGCTCCCCACTCTGTCTCTGGCGAATCCTTTCAACCCCCGCCCATCCGCACTTCTGGCTTACGCCCCAGTTCTCATATGCATAAATAAAAATTAAAAAATAAAAAATCTTAAAAAAAGATTATAATTCTTAAAAAAATAAAAAGATATATATGTCTAGCTATTAAATGTCAGTCCAATCAACACAAAAAACTCTCACTGCCTTTCTGCCTTCCCCTTTGAGAACAACTGCTGTGGGGACCATGCAGAACACCACCAGAGGAACATAAACTCATAAAAAATGAACAAAAAAATATAAATAGCACAATTTCACTAAGCAACTTGGCATTGTGTTCTAGCTTTTCAATTCATACCACACACACTGAAAGTTACAAAAATAAAACTGAAAACGAAAAACTATCAAAGGCCACTCATTATTCAGAGTATATCCATGATATAACAGAGGAAAAAAGATTTGTAAACAGTATCATCTGTAAGATCCTAATTTTACACATTACAAACAAAGGGGGGGACCTCCCTGGTGGGGCAAGGGGTTAAGCACAGCACTGTGAGTTTGATCCCTGGCCAGCCAGGGAGGTACCCACCTGGTGCAGCAGACCTCTCCTGCCCCGCGTGCTGCTCCCCTCAGCAGTGTATGCAGTCAGTCTGCCTGTTCTGTTCCATTCTGTCTCTGGTGAATCCTCTCACCCCCTGCACCTCTGGCCTGTACTCCAGAGTTCTTGTATGCATAAATAAATACATCTTTTTTAAAAAGTAAGAAAATCAAGTCAATAAGCTCAATGAAAAAGTTATATGATGTATAAACTTCTGCAACAAGTATATTTCATAAAACATTATTGAGAAAAATGAATTCATTTATAAAGTTTTAATTTTGTAGTTTCATACATAAAATAATTTCCGTATTAACCCTAAAGCAACATGAAGGGTGGGAGAGAGGCAGGAGAAGAATACAGGCTGCTAAATATTGTAATACATGGTAAAGGACAAACAAGATATTTGTAATTAGGCAATAAATAATGCCTAATAATTTATTACATTCAAAGAATTATTTGGAAGTTTCACACAGTATGAGGGATTTAGTTTAGTATTGAGTGCTGAAAAAAATATAAATTCTTTTACCTACATATTAAGATTGCACAAGTCTTCATCCTTCCTGATTCCCTTGGTTAACTCCTGTGTGCCCTTGAAGATTCAACTCAGCTAGGGCCTCCCTGGTGGCGCAAGGGGTTAAGCACCGCACTATAAAGCAATCCACAGCCTCTGCAGCATGAGTTCCATCCCTGGCCGGCCAGGGAGCTACCCACATCTTGCAGCAGACCTCTCCTGACTTGCCCGCTAGTCCCCTCAGCAGTATACTTTGGTCAATCTGCCTGTTCTGTTCCCCACTCTGTCTCTGGTGAATTCTCTTACCCCCCACATCTCTGGCCTGTACCCCAGCTCTTGTATGCACAAATAAATAAATCTTAAAAAAAAAAAAAAGCAATTAAAAAAAAAAAAGCTTCAACACAGCTAGAATATATCCTCTGGAAACTTGTCTTACACTCTAAAACTTAAATTATCCTCCATTGAATCTTATTTTCATTATCACAAACTAATCTATGAACTCCAGGCATTTAGTACCTTAGTATCTTGAACACCAAGCACAATGCCTGGCCCAGGTCTACATTATTAAAAATAGAAAGTCTAGTTAATCAAGGCAAGAGTAGAACTAGATTTTTCTACTAGTACCTCTCCTCTCTGACAAGCACTGCTGCTCACAGAGGGTATTTACAATGTATCCATCATCAGTACATTCTCCCAGAGCCTACCAGTAACCACCCTGATCTCATCCTATTACACAACTGAAATAGAGCCCAGTCTCTAGATCTGCCTATTGAGGCTGCATCCTACTAATAAAAGTCTTTCTTTTTTAAACAGAATCCACTGATAGCATCTTCAGTTCAAAACCAGAAACAAAGATGGCAAGTTATCACCTGCTCTTGTTAAGTGAAACTGATGACAATTTTTATCCACCTCTAAGTAAAATCATATCTAAGTAAAATCATATAAGTTCAACTAATTAAAACCACAGCATTCTTGAAGATTGCTTTCAAAGAAGGCAACCATTCACACCAGCTTTTTTACCCCCTTCTGATGTAGTTGGCAGAGATCAAAGGAGAAACAAAAACGAAATACTGCAAAACATTTCAATACATTTATGATTACTAGGCTGCTAGTAAAGTAAGTACAAACAAGTTAGCATTCCGATGTGTCAGTAAAGGCAATTATGCTATCCCACATTGTGCCCCTTTAATGTCTGACAGTTACACACCACTGGCAAAGGTAGGAATATGATTAAAAGTGTACAGGCACTTTTTGCATTCTTAAATCCTGTAGAAAACTTAAAAAAGCTGTAATGTTGTTGAATAAAGTTAACATATAAAATCTGTCAGACAAAAAACTGTAGTTTATGTCTATAAGATTTTTTACCAAACTTTAAAAAAGCATGTATTAACTGGGATAACTCCAATCTTCTTAATATTGTAACTGCATAATAATTGTTCAAATTCTCATAATGATGTTATCTCATTATCTCCAGAGATATAACTGCAGTTATATCTAGATTACTAGATTGTTACTCTACCTAGTAACTCCATATAAAGAGTTATAGAAGGAACCTTAGGATATTCTGGTACAATTTTCCCATTTTATAGATCAACGCAACAGGACTAGAGAGCTGAAGAGACTGGCTCAAGGCCACAAAAGCAAAGCAAGAGTTTTAATTTTAAGTACTTTTTATTTAATTTTACTTTTCACCACATCACCATATGCAATGATCTAATTATAAATAAACTTTGAGTTGAAGTTTATACACAATTAACAGTAGATTAATATAGAATCTGGCTTCGTTCATTTAAAATATCCGTAAATTAAAATTATTCATGCTTTAAAAAATAGCCATTTTAATATAAAATACTAATGTCAATATTTACAGGCTTTATATAATTACTTTTCAAGATGAGGTTGGTGATCATTTTAAGTCATTTTAAGCAAAAGATTTTCTGTCTGGCACTACAAGTACAAAGTCCAAGTTACAGCAATTTTCTCAAATTATTTATAATACTGCCTACAGTAAATTTCAGGTTGCAAGATTTGCCCTACACAAGTAAAAATGAGGACTTACTACTGTACAATGCATTAAACCAGGGTAAAACCATTGACATCTAAATCAAATAAAGCTTAGTACTAATACTAAAGCCAAAAAGAAAAAAAAACAGAACAAAACACCACCACAGTGAAGCAGAGATTTGCAACAAATTCAAGTCAATTTCATTACCTATGGATTTCTAAAGACAAGTAAGACACCCTAGTAAATTAGGACAATAAAAACATAATTTTGTTGAAATAATCTATTGTAAAATAACATCAACATGTATTTCTTAGAAAGGCAAGATTATAAGAATTGCCAAAGGTGTTCTGATAACTAACAGCGCTAGCTCTATTATGAATGGCTACCCGTTTCCCTTTGCAAGAGGAATGGATGCTGCCTGAAGGAAAATCTAATTTAAAATATGCAAAATATCAAAAGTACAAATACTTTAGAGGTCAGAAATACTGCAAGACCACAATAACAAGCACCAAATACATTTAAAAAATGTGTGCTCTTCATGGTTGGGAGAACTGCTGAGTTTTCACTGAAAGCAGACTTTACACAGAATTTTATCACACCTGAATATTTATTTTTGAAGTCCATAACTGAACATTTATTTTTTAAGTCCATAACTAATGATAGTTTGAAATCAAAATATTTTATAGATGAAGAAGCAAGTTGAGAAGAAGGCTGAGTGAGAAACAAATTCAAATGTTCTAATTCAATTTGTATACTTCTGACAGAAAAGGAAGGCAACTGTGACAACAGCCTGCAAACAAAAAAAGAAAAACAACGACAACGAAAAAAAACCTTAAAAAGCAAACAGCGTTTTTAAAAGGTACAAAATCCTACTACCAAAAAACCAAAAAACCTCATTAGGATCAAGGAAACAATAATTCCGAATCATAAAGAAAGCATTAGGCAATGTAAAACGAACTCTAAAATAGAAGCATGCAATTTGTTTAAGACATAATCGCAACTCAAGTGATTAACATTTAAAAAGGGAGGATGGGGTGCAAAAAAGGGCAAATTTTCTAGTACACAAAAAGTACAGATTAGATAAGCAGCCAATTACTGTGACTTTTCTAAATTTTATGGGCACGATTTCAAAAATGTCCACACACTCTTCCCATCATGTTCGCAAACTGCCAAATTACTAAGCATTCTTCTTTACCAAAGAGGAATAAAAACAGAGGCACACAAGTTTTTTCCCCTATCTGGTTTCAGCTAACGAAAGTTAACAAACCCCCCTGGCCCCCGAATTTCCGAAACACTTGGACGAATTTGTGATCACTACTGCAAAAGCTTGCTCCTGCACATAAAGTATTAAGGACAAAAATTAAAACCAATGCACAAAATGGTGCTTTTATAACATTTCTCAAAAGACGGGCAATTCTCCATTCTCGCGGAACTCTACTCAGTTCCTTAAAGGATTAACGAGGAGCCAAACCGCATACTCTCCCCAAAGGCATATGGAGCTCCGAAGCGATCACTTTCCTCCCAAAGAATTATTTCCTCCTAAAAGGCCTGCGTTGTTACAGCTCTTCTGAAACGGGAAAACTTCGACACAGCTAAGAGGTACGAAGAGGAGAGCCCGGATTTGAGTTTTAGGAGAAAGCTCAACTAAGTGGCCTGCACCACTTACCTATGCAAGGCAGCCGCTGTCTGTCTGAGGAAAAAGGTCGGAGTAGGAGGAAAGCCTGCCTAAACCTCCGTGATCTAGGCTTCTCGCCGGAACCCGAACCCGACAGGACGTTAGGTTACGCCGACCCCTTCCCCACCAACCCTCCCACATACCCTGCATTAGTGCTCAGTCTTGCGATTTTGAACCATCAAAAATCTCCCCGGCTCCCTAGAGTTCAGGCCGCCGTCGCTGCCGCCATGTTACAGCTTGTGCGGCAAAATGCGTCAAGGAAGGAGGTGTGCGCCCAAGTGCAGAGGGCGGGGGCTAGTGGAGGGAGGATCGTTTCCCGTACCCGGAGGCTAAGCTGCAAGCCTTCCTCAGCTGCAAAGCCCGCGCCGCGGTACTTCAGGACCCCCTCGGTGAACAGACATCCTCGAAACCTCGAGGGGAAAACGGTTAAGTCAGCCGGGCCTTTCGCGCCGGCTCCGCCCCTCTCCGCTGGCCCTTCCCGCTCTCATCTCCCGAGACTGCTGCAAAGGACGCCGCCGAGACACGGGCCTCGCTCCACCTACCTGCACCGGTACAGTCTCCTCTTCCCGAGCCTTGGGCCTTTAAAGCGCTTCAAATCTACCGCCGCCAGAAAAGGCGCTAAAGCCCACTAACCGTCTCCCTCCCCCACAACCCAGTCCCGGCGTGGAGGGAAAGCGTCGCCCCGGAAGTGCGTCACGAGTTGGTTGACGGCATTTCCCGGCGTTCTCTTGCTTGCGTCAGCAGGGCCCTCCCTGGAGTTGTAGGAGTTTGGTGCTTAGTTTATGGCCCATGTTTTATATGTGATTTCATTGGTGTAAGGTCGGTGTGTTATAGAGCAACCCCGATATTAAACGGGTTCCTGGCTGTGGGTCCTCACCCGCGCGCTTTAAAGGGACTTATGAATACTCTACTACAGACACACACAAAAGGGTTAATAAAAGGTTTATTTACAAGAGAAAAAGAAATAAGGAAAATGTACAACTCAGGGAGAAAATAGGGAAAT